TGATGAGGAAGTATTCGGTACCGTACAATGCCTAACCCATCAATTCTAATCTGAATCATTGATGTGCGACATAGATTATCAGATTAATCATGTGTGACATGAACATAAAGAAAATGAATTAAGGTATAAGTTAAGATAAGAAATCAGTGTTGATATACCTGTATATAGAAGTATACTTTATATACACATCCATCATAAATATACATCATTTATCATTGAAGCTGTCCCCTAATCACTGTTTCACACTATCAACACCATGTTGTTCAGGTGTTTAAGACTTATTATTATTCAATGTATTAATATCACTAATAATTAATTAAATACTTTCTATTATAGATATGCCCTTAGACCTTCCATACATAAAAACCTTGAGTCAATAGGTATTCTTTCATTCTAGTTTTGACTTTTGTCCTGGCTTTTAACTGTTGTCGGAAGCTGAACTATGTTTTGGTAGGTGGAATATTGTCTTTATATTTTGTGAGATTCTGTCATACAGAGGAAACATCATTTCAGTTTTGGGCTTTTTTGTCCACTTAAGAAGAGGAATATTTTATTCATTGTGAGGTTGCATTTTATTATCGTTGAATTTTAGATTATAATTTCATTAAATCTTCAAAGTGCTGTATCTTTATGAGAAATGTTAGTTATTTGATAAAATTAAACCAAATTATAAAGAAAAAACTGCACTTTCCCACTGTTTCTTATAGTTTTGTTTATTTCTTAGTCATCTCAATACATTGGTTTCATCAATACTAGAAATTGTGCATGTCATATGTTGAACAGATTTCTTTCGTCATGTCAAAGTTCAAGAGAGCTTCTTACCAAACTGTTAACTCGCGTGTCATATAGCTGTTGTAAATACCAGCCTTGATGCACATGTTAAAAATACGCATAAGTCTATTGCTCTCAATTTTTTTAATTAGTCACCTCACGAAAATTTACTTGTATCTATATTTTTTTTAAAATTTCATTATTAATGATTGATTTTGATGTGTCATTGAATCTATAATTCGTTTTTGTCAGTTCTTTGTTATTATAATCATTAATAATCAGAGCTCAAAATAGTCAGTGTACAATACATCCGTGAGAAAATATTGTTCTCTATGATTTAATATCCTTTATCTTAAACACTATTAGTAATAATTATTTGTTGTGAAAACAATACTTTCTCAAGTTATAATTCAGTTAGTTCCTGTTAGTTAATATGAGTTATTTGCTTTAAATTGGTTATTATATTGAAGTGAGTAATTCTAGTTTAAATATATGGTATTGATATGATTAGTATGGTTAGCTAGTCAACAACTATATATTTTCTATCTATATAAGATATCAGTAGATGTATATCAGAAAACGTATCTTATGTTTGAAGTGTAATGATAGAATGAGGCAAGGCGATTGATGCTGTAACATATCTTCTAACGTGATCAAACCATCTTCTTGCTACAAACTGCTGTGATTATTTAGTCTTGTTTGTACAAAAATAACTTATTACATCTTTCAAGTAGCCATGATTCATCCAGTTTTGATTTTATTGTTTTATCTCTTTATTTTGGAGACTAGCAAACTTTAATTTACATTTAAGTAATTAATCTTTAGTTATCTTGCAAAGAGGCTTCTCATCACTTCTCATCCTTTTTTCTTTGCATGTTAAAATTACAAATTATTTACAAGATAACAAAAATTGAAAATCAAATGGAGTACTGATTAAAGTAACAAATGTTTCATCCTTTGAAGAATATCTTTTTGAAAAGCTGACTGAAGTTTGTTAGGGAAGTAAACTTCTTTTTTTTTTTCACACTCGCTCGCGCTTGTAACAACTGTTCATAATTTATCATATTTTTTTGGCAAATTGTTATTTAAAAGACAAGGTGCATGTCACATTGCATCCTTTTTTATTTGTGAAAATTAGCTTGAAATGTATAATCAGTAAAAAAGGCTTTATTCCAAAAGTAGGGAAAAAAATGACATTATTAATAATATAGAAACTGTCTTTGTATTTTGTATAAGTTATATAATCTTCCCAGCATAGCAATTTTAATATTTTTGGTCTGTTGGTTTAATATTATTTTTTTAGGATATTATGTAGAATATATTATGTTATAAAATCTGTAAGCCCTAACATGTCAGAATAAAGAAGGTCCATACACAATGAAAAGTACTTGAATGAAAATTCTGATAAAAAAAAACCCAAACATTTTGATCTAAAAGTTTTTCAGTTCGATCAATTCTGAATTAAGTTATGGCAAATTATTAATTCCACTATCTTTTCATACAAGCCAGCACATTCTTCATGAAGTTCCTTTTTATGTAATCAGTCTTTACATTAAAATAGTACATAGTTTTGACTTTTTAAGTATTTGTGAATGATCTAACTTATTGCACCTTTAACGGAAATGACTCAAGATTTTTAAATTTCAGTGTAATGTACGTTAATATTATTTGTTACAACATAGAGCTATTTAGAATAAAGATGCACCAAAATACAACCTTTAAATCTGTTCCTGTTAAAATCCTTTAGTGATAAAATTGTGTTGTCTATAATTGCTTTGTTGTAAAAAAAAAACATACATAGATAAAACACCTTTGCTAAAAAACGACTTTGAACAGTTCATTAAACACAATTCTCATTATCAGAATTAAAAAGAAAGCAATCATGACTCTATAATGTGGGTGGAAAAAATGTGCAGTGCAAAGAGACGAAGAATAATGGTAATAATTTCAGAATCTAAATATGTATGGTTATGTTATTACTTCTGTACCCCAACAGTTGTGAATAGTTGTAATTGATAGTATGTATATATGTGCAGCTTTGATGTCATGCTAGAATTGCCAAATACATAACTTGCTGTTTTACCACATCAAAAAGACCGTTCTTTTTGGGTATTGCCATGATATTTATTCATCCTGTTAGATATAAACAATACCTACTTCATATGATCTCCTCCAAATCAAAGAAAGCACATCTTTTGTGTTTGCCTTTATGAAGCAAGACAGGGAAGTATTCAACGCATTTAAAGTTTCCTAAACTTCTTTTGTTTTCAACGTAAAAACTGATTTACATTGCATGCTTGTTACTGTGTGAACTAAAAATCACTGCTTAAAGATGCATTACGCAAGAGCAAAATTTGCCTATTGCCGGTCGTTTTTCTGGCTTCAAATGTTATATAAATCTATTCACATGACAAGCCCATAATCAACTCTCCAGACCTGTAGGTGGCTTAGCTATCGAATGGATTAGATGATTAGAGCCATATAATCGGTTAAGGTTAAAATGGACGTCGCTCAATGAAAGGACCGACAATCAAGACTTTGTTTATTATCATGGTAATGATACTTGACACCCGACTATTTCTTGTCAAAATTTCAAACACTTAAAAATTTGCTTAGAATAAAGTAATTTGACTGAAATTTTCAATATATTTATTTTTTATTATCCATTTTTATACTATTATTGAAAGAACCGCCAGCTATTTATCTACATCATACATGCATCTTTAATATTTGATTTATCTGGTTAAATATAAGATTAAAATAGATCAAGCATTTGAATTTTAGAAGAAAAAATGAAAGTGAATGTAGGCTAATTTAATTTTTGATTAATTTCTTCTCAGTTTGCTCCATTGTAATCTGGTAACATATAACTATCATAGTCAGTTATTTCTCCTCAACATCATTGTCTATGTCATTAATCTGAAAACACTCAATGATGAAATTGATGGAATTCATTCAGTCATCCATTCATAACAAATCACAGACAATATTATTCAGATTTAATCAGAATTTGTTCACTTATTGTTTCAATATCTAAATTGTTATTGGTTTTCTTCCAGGATTGATCAATAAGAAGTTTGTGTTTTTTGTCAGTTTGAACTATTTAAGAAACTATAGGTTATAGAAGTTGATCTTTTACTGCTATAATAAATGCACATATTGTCTCTTTTTGCACGATCAACAACAGTAAAAGCGGATAAACAAAATCGCTTATTGAAACATGTCCAAAAGTTTGATTGAATGCAGGAATGTTAAGAAAAAATTGAATTGGATTCTTTTTGGAAGAGGTTCTAACCAAACCAATTTGGACTTGCCACTAATGCATATTACCCCTTAATGGTTCTCACATACATGAGATTTCCATTTTCTTTGTGATTTTGATTTCATCCTTTCTTTGGCACAATTGTCACAAATTCATGATTTTGCATGGAATGGCTTCTAATAATGTTTGAATATTTTGCTAAGGATATTGCCAAAATGAGCTTTTGTTGTCGGCGCTATCGATATTGCTATTCAATAGCTAAGAGTTGTTGATTTGGGGCCATTGTAGGCTGGTGGTAATTAAAGTTACTCTTCATCACATTGTCCACTCCTTGCCAACGTTCTATAGCTTTTCTAACTAAATGCAGAAATTGTCAGAAGTTCACTGGTTCAATTTATATTCTTTGATTGCATTCAAAACAAAAAGATATCTTTGCTTGATTTTTACAAACACTCGCCAGCAACAATGCCGAGTTAATTGCATTCCTCCAAGAATCTTTAACAACAATCAACAACTTGGGTCAATATCGACGTTTTTCTTTCTTGTCTAAGGCAAAATCTTAGCTTGTATCATTTGAGTTAAGTATTAAATGGATGAAATTATTTCAATGTGTTTATACTGGAACAACAAACCTCCGCTTTATGAATCTTTGATCGTTCCTTTAGTCAGTTGGATGTTGGTGATATGGAACTCTATCGCTCAGATGAAGAGACGATATACAGCCATATCAAATAACCATTGGTTTTTATTCGGCAAACCTCATGTAAGCATTTCCAGAAAAAAAAGAAAATATTATGTATTAAATCAATCATATATTTTTTTTACTGAATGAAAAGTCATAAACAAATGGATTTTTTTTTTCAGAATTCTTCACAATAAATGTAACTCTTTCATTTCTTTTCTAAATCAAGTCTTCTTAATATCCTCAGAAATAGGCATTCAAGTTTTTATTTTTTTATACTTTCAGGACTATGTCTTCTAAGAGAAAAAATACCCCTACAAAATTGTCAAAAGATAATGTTGAAGGTGACGGGTTAAACTATGATTGTGAAACTGTAGATAGTGAAACAAGTGTTGACGTGAACCAGTCTTACCCTTCCCATTTAACTCGACAAGACCTCTACGATTCGGACAGCGGCTCGGAAAAACCAGCCAACAAGAAACAGCGTCTCTTACAAAGTGTCAGGGAAGATACCAGTTCCGATTCGGACAACGAACTCAAATCAAACTCCAAATCTTTAAACAATAACTATATTCTAACAAAGTCCTCATTTGGACTGCATAAGAAATCTATGGAAAGTGTGTTACGTAAACTTCATCCTAGATCTCTAGAAATGGAAGAATCAAATGAACTTCCGTCGGGTAAATCAGACAATACTGTGATAGATCAAGTACAACATCTACTACAAGAAGGAGCTGGTATTAAAGACAAGGAACAACGACTTAGTGAAATGATCTCCCAACTGCAAAATATTAAAGAAAATCTCCACAAACAAAAGGTATAATTCAAATTTTATTACCAGTGGCCTGTTGAAAGGGGTGGAGCAGGCGACTGACCCAGGCATCCATTTAATGGAGGCATCCAATCAAAGAGTGAAACTAAAAGTATTTTTAAGTTTGAAATTATTGCTGTTAACTTTGTTATACAAGCTGCCCAAGATAATTTTTAACTTATCTCATAAGTCTTGGGGTACCTGGGCATCACCAAACCTCTTCATACCACTGGCAAATACTCACCCTAAATACTAATAACCAAATTAGCTTGCAAATTTAGAACATTACTCATGTAATTTTAGTGGCTTAACTTTTTCTAGAACTGGGGGTCCTGATCGTAGGTATTGTAATTCAACCTCGACATGAACAAATCTTCTATATAATACACAAGTGGAAAGTGCTAGTATATATTTTATAACATCAACTTGTTTGAATTTTATTGATGACAACTCACTTAATACTTGATTGAACTGCACTTGCAGTAGTTTTATTAAATTTAAATTGAACTTTAGATGATGGTGCAATAGAAAGATCCCTCTGCAGTCAAATTATACATTAAAATTTAATTTGTTTTCAATATTATCAGCTGTTAGCTCTCACATTTTGATTGCATGCATATGGTATTTGTGATTCTCTACGCATTTAGGTGCAGGTGTGAACTAGATGAGATAGAGGCGATGCCCCTGCTCTCTGAAACAATTAAATAGTTCAGATATGAATCTGGGTACAAATAACATTTCTTTCCTTGCATTGATGAGATTAAATAAATGTCTTGAAAAGTTGTAGCTGTGGGTAACAAGTTACAATTAATTGAAAGTGTTCATTGGTTTGGCTAATTCTGTATTCAATCTTTATACCATATGTATATGATTTAAGAGTTACGGTACTAGTGTTTTTGTGTTAGTAGTTAGTCCTACTTTACTTGACTTTTATACTTCAAAGTGTCTGCCCTTAATTTTCATAAATTGATATTGATGCAGAGGTAAATGAAAGACATCTGTTCACGAACAAAGAATAAACTGATTATGATGACGTCAAGTTTTTGCGGAGGAAAAAATTGCTTTAATTTTTTGCTGATGTCTTGTAAGAGCTATTAAGGATTGTAAATTGAATTATGATGACGTCCGGTTTCAGAATGTTAGAGTATTGTTTTACAAACCAAAAATGTTCCCAAGCCCTCTTATTGCTACATAATGAATACAAAATTAAGAATTCCATCTGTTTTCTGATCCTTATATCACAGAGTTGAGTTATTCATTAATTTTAACAAATAATTTTATGCCAGGTTTTTAACCCGAAAATTGCATATGTCATTTGTATTCCCCATTGTACTTATTTAATGGATATTGCATATTTTACCTAGGACCAGGTAATCTCTATCTTGGCTCTACAATTCAGATTATTACCTGTCGTGCTAGTACCATACTGGATCTACATGTAATTGCTGTTCTCATTCTCTTCTCATCTTGTGGACAGTTCATTTGTGACTGGAATCAGCCATTCGTGACTGCAACTTGATGAAACTCGCTGGAAACCACAGGTTTGTTCCAGAGTATTCCAGACCCAGTTGAACTTGTTTAGATATTTTTTAAAAACTTGTTGGGCTTATTCAACTACCAGTACTCATTGACATGAACCCAGATTTTTCTGGGACTGTTTAACTAAGGCTGAACTGTATAGGTCATTGCCCTTGTCATCTAAACCTTGTAATGAAAAAAGAGTGCTTAGATTTGTGTCAATTGCTTCAAAACTTTTTATCATTCTTAAAAATTTTCATTGGGAACTTTTTGAATAGTTATAAGGATGAACTCTATTTGAGTCATCCTTCAATTATTTTTGTAGTTATTGCTCTTGTCATAATATAACCTTGAAGGTTAAGGCATTTAAGATGGTTTTTATTCAAACTTGCTTGCATTCTGGGTAAATTCTTTTCGAGACTGCAAAAAGATTACAATAGTGACATCCTTTCTAAACATCTCAAACAACTGAGCTTCTAGTCATTGCCTGGCAACCCATTTTTGCCCCCCCCATCCGATTTTCAAGGAAAGTAGGGGACTATTAAAATTGGTCTGTCTGTCGGTCTGTCACACTTTTTTGGGACACAATAACCATCCTTCTAATTGAGCTAGAATGTCCAAACTTCGTGTAGGTGTTTACTAGGTGAATGCCTTGATGAGTTCGAAGATGAGAATTTTCTGCTAAGGGTAAGCAGAAATAAGCAATTTGATTGGTTGATGCTTTGGGACACGATAACTTTAGTTCTAATTTAGTTCGATATTGAACATTTTCTGCTGAGGGTAAGCAGAGGGATAAGCAATTTGATTGGTCGAGACTTTGAAACACAATATCTCCCCTTCTAATTGAGGTAGAATGTTCAAACTTGGTGTAGGTGTTCGTTAGGTGAATGCCTTGATGGAGTTCGATGATGAACATTGTCTGCTTACATTGAGCATAGATAAGCAATTTGGTTGGTTGATGCTTTTGGGCACGATAACTTTGATTATAATTAAGTGATAGCTATGATATCATTACCTTGTCTAAGTTTGATGAGAATTTTCTGCTTAGGCTAAGGAGCGATAAGCAATTTGATTGGTCAAGACTTTGGAACATAACAACTCTGCTTTTAATTGAGGTAGAATGTTCAATGATTAACATTTCCCGCTAAAGCTAAGCAAAGCTAAGCAGAGCTAAGCAATTTCTTTGACTTTGATTCTATCTGATAGAGAGTGATGAAACTTAGTGTATAGTTGATAATCAGTTTCATTGCGATTCCACCCCAAACCATTATGCTTGGACATCCCCATGAGTCTCGTTCCAGGACACATTGGTCAGAATAACGCCATATTCTGGTCTTGCCATCTGCAGTTGATCTAGTCGTTCGGATGGGACAGAAAACCGAGGTCCCCTGTATACATTGGCGTACACGTAAAAGATCCCTTGACAGTTGGAATTCGATATAAGAGTAAGCCGTAGTGTCGCTATCCGGGCAAAATTTCCCTCATATCACTGTATGGCATATGCCCGTCTTCATTAGCCCAGTTTGGAGCAGAACAGTAGGACATTAAACTCCATTTCATTTAATTTTTCTCATCTGTGAACAGAACACTTCTCCATTGCCTGTGTCGCCAGTTCTGGTGTTGTTAGCCAAACTGTAGATGTTCACCTTGATGGTGAGGGGTGAGGATCGGTTCACGGTCTATGGCAATGGATGTTTCCTCTGGTGAGACATTGGCGCACTGTATCGGTACTGATGGGTCTTGCGTGTGTTCCCACTGTCTGACATGCTGTCTCAGATGCCTGTGTGAAGGGATTCTGCACGTGCTGTCACACAACATGGCAGTGTTGTCGCCTTGTGGTACCCCTTGGTCTACCAGCTCGGGGGCGATCATCTGTGGTGTTGGTGGCCCGAAAGCGTCGCTGAAGACTGTAGATGGTCCGAACATTGACCTGGAAGTGATTGGCAACAGCTTGGGCAGTGTGGCCAGTGTTGAGTCTTCCACGTGCCTGGTTCCTCTGAGCTGTCCTGAGTCGTGGCAAGCTGCTGACGTTGTAGTGTGAATGATTCAACCAGGTATGGGGGTGCATTTTATAGGGCTGGTCCCGGTGAACAGCACGTGCAGCATGAGTTACATGAAAATCATGGAGAACACATTACCATCTCAGGTTGCGTTTTTGAGAACATTTCCTGGGTTCAACTCTGTGTTTGGGAAGGAGCCTTATTGCTCAGGTAAAGTTGGAGATGTGGTCACAAATATACAATAAAAACATTTGACAAGTTTTATGCAATGCGTCTATTCAGAGTAACATACCAACCTGACGTTTCTTTTGCTGCTTAGTACATTTATTTAGAGATTTCAGCGGGGGACATCAGCCTCACTGTTGGCTTGTTCTATATATATTAATTGCATGTGATTGGTGCTTGTTTATCTTGAAACATTTACAATTATGGTAGTTTATTCCCCAAAAATATCATTTTCCATAATCTCTAGTACACAGAGTCTTTCCCATGTTTCCTTTATTAATAATGGCAAATGGACAGGGTTCTCTATTGCCCTGCTTCATCTTAGACTTTACACCACTATCTTGAAATACTGATATTTGTCTCTCCTGAATATTTGTACCAGTGTATATTTTTATTCAAAGAGACTGGGCGGAAACAATTTACTAAGATTTTTTTACAAATTTGGAGTATATGAATTTGATATATAGGCAATTCATGAATAATATAATGTTTATTATACAAGTAATTTTGTTGTTGAGATACATTTCAATGATACTTTTAAAGAGGGTCGCGCTTATCATTTCATCTTAATGAGAAGCAATTCTTTGACTTCCTGTATTAATATACAACAGGAAATTGATCTTAATTCAAAGCTACTTTATTTCTATGGATCTCAATTTGATTTGTTCAAATGATATCTTTTACATTGATATTGTTGCACAAAACATTGCTATAATAGTAGCCTAATCATGACCACATTTTAATTTATTAGTTACCAAATTTTCATTAACAACTATGTTAGCCGTTATTATAGAAAAGTTGCATGTACAATTAGATCATTTTCTTTTCTATCAAGGTTGGAACACCTGGACTTTTTATTTTCTACTCCATAGTACAATATAAAGCATCAATTAACTGTTATCTGTTCACATGTAAATTTAAAAATAAATTAGCTACATTACATTGACATGTTTATGAAACATTGCCAAATCTGACCAACAATATTCATTATTCTCATATTTAATAAAATAAAACTACAGCAAAGTTATTTATCTTTGAGTAAACACCTGCAAACTGTATTAAGAATACCCATCTTTTTTTATTTTGCAATCTGTGAAATATGATTGTTATATTAGGAGCAATAAATGATTGTGTTGCTTGAAATGTTCGGACATTTTTAAAAAAATATCTGAAGCATGGCCAAATGATTTGGTATAAAATTATAGTAGATAATAAAAGTCTTGATTGTTAATAGAAGAGACAGTAAAGATAGAAAGAAGGATTTTTTTCCGTCTTTAGTTGCTTATTTTGTCAGAGTTTTCTTCTTTTGATTTATTCTGTCAATAACAATAAATTTCTCTTTGATGTTTTTGGAAACATGATGGTAAAGAGTTTGTCTGCTAGACCAGTTAATCATGTCTTTGTTCTTTCTGTTTTTCAATTTATGGTAGTAGAAGAAGTTATGTGATGTTGGAATTACCCATAAGGAGAAGGAGATAGACACCAAGACAGGATGTCGGATGGTTATTTTGCCTAATCAAAAACACCTGTCTGGAAAACAATTTCATGGTTGACTTATAACATGTATTTTTTTTTTAAAGAAGAAGAAAAATCTCAATTAATCCAACTAAGCTATTGTAGTGAATTAAGTTGTATTGGTTGATCTTTTCAGGATTGTAGAATTTATATTTTTAAGCTCTGCTTTATTTTTTGTCTGTTAAGTTCCTGTTCATGGGTGTTCATTTTTTTCTGTTATGAAAAAGTTTGAATTCTATTTTGTTCATTTGGGGGAAAAGCCATCTTCAGAATATAAGGAATATTTTTGGAAAGTGCTATTTTTTTTATTGGTCCAAATACAAGTGATGATGAAAAGTTTTAACATTATTTTTCAGTGATTGGAATTTTAAAAAAAAATGTATTCAATTATGTTATTGCCGAAACAGGACTTGACAATAAATTGTCTTTATTTGTTTTAGCACATGTGGGTCTGATAGAAATAGAAAATATAATCATTTAAGTATAATAAATGAAACATTAAATTCATGACAACTTGATGTTTATCAATGAAATATTTCTCCTAAATCTGTATTTTTGTGGTTGTCCACTTTTTAAAGCACTCAACTAATTCAAACCAAATGTTTTAATAACCCTGAGATTAGACATAGGCAAGGCAGAAGAACTTTGACTTAAACACTACCATTATTTCCCAGTTATCTCAGTAAATTCTGGTAATGACCGACCCCTCTTGTGTGTTATCAGGAGGAGAGTAAAACAGAAGTGTGTGGAGCCATGTGCTGGGAGAGGGCATCACATACAAGATAGCCACAGATTCAAGTAGCACTACTGTCTTTCAACAAGTTCCATTCATAACCAAAGGAACACATGATCACAAGCAGACTTACATCTAAATACTGAACAATATATTAATCGGCTGTCTGTTTCGATAACACTTTCTTATTGTTAATAAGGCAAGGCGTACATGCTATACAGCATAAACTCACTATTTATATGATGAATGATTCACCCATTAGAGGTCCTAATATTTTTTTATATCCACATGATGTATATATAATATACACATTTATTTATATATCATTGTATAGAGCATTTCTTGCCCTAACTGTCCTAAATAGATTATGAAAAGAGCATACACCTCCAGTGCCGAGAAAATCAGATGAAAAAGTTGGGAGATAATTCATTTCTAGACTTAAAGATAATTTTCATGTATATTATAGATAAACGCTTTTATATTTTGCCATTTTGAAAATTGAGAAAGAACTGTGCATATTATATGCCATTTTTATGTCTATCTTCGTCTTGATCATGGCATCATGTAATGGTAGCTACAACAAAGAATTCATCCTGTGTATAAACATGGTGGTTTTATCCGATCATTTCCACTTACTTTTTCACAAGTTATCAGTTAGACTTGAAAACAATACTGGAAAGGGAGGAATATCGGGTAGCGTGTGTCAAGGGGGGCTATCTTAAGGGGGGATGTCTTCTGTTAACTTTATCATTTGTTTAACCAGCAGGAGACATTGACGTATACACAAAGACGTTTTTTACTCATCAACAATACATGGGTTGGCCACAATCTTGTGATTATTATTATAAGAAAGGATTATTTCTGACAGATAAAGCCTATCTCTTTCAATATTTCATAACCCACAACTATTTTTTTTTCGAAGGATATTCCGTATTGTTTGAATTTTTGTTTTCTTAGACATCAGATATGTAGGTATCCGTCAGATGAAATTATATTTTTTTTTATGATTCCATTGGGCCAGTGGAGGAATGGGCTAATGCTGGGTCTTCTGTTTGTTGTCTAACTTAAACAATTTACATCCCTAATTTACTTTGAACTGTTGTGTAATAAACAAAGTACTTGGAGTAACTACAAGAAAGTTTTTTAATGCTTTGTTTTGCCTCGTTATGATGTAGGCCTATGTGTAAATTCATTAAATCTAAAGTCTGTAATGATAAACATAATATGAATATCCTAATTCTGATACATCAGTAAAGTATGGGTACCATACAGCCTTTTAATTGGTTTGTTTATAAAAAAGGACAACTTCATTAATTGTCTTCATTTTTGAGTTTGTTGTAGTTTTTGAAGTTTGCAGATGTTGAAAGATAAAGAAAATTATATTATTTAGTTTTAAAACAAGCAAGGCGTCTGTGTTCTCTTAAAGAATATAAGATAAGGACAATATCATGACTGTTTTCTTAAAGCATTCTTGTGGAAGGGAATAAATATATATGAAGCTTATCTGATTATAGATGATTTACAGTTAGAGTGTTAGATATGAACCATAACTATAAATTTGTGTGGAAAATTATCATCTTTGATGATAACATGCTTAAATACAATAATCTTTCTGTTTTGACTCATTGTTGTTGAAATGATGAAAATAAATAAATGCTTTGCAAGATTTGTTCAGATTGGTTGACAATTGGAGTTCTTGTATATCTCTGATTTAGCAGTAATAAATATAACATGCTGAAATAATTTTCTCTTAAAGAAAGAGGTTTTGTTTTATTGATATAATTTTCCTCCACATATAAAAAAATTCAAAAATTTTTGTTACATAAATAAAGAAAACAGGATTTCTTTTGGGGTGTGAATACTTGTTAACTTGCAGTTCATGTCTTTATGGTTTTTAGAAGTTTTGCTGGTTATTTTTAATGCTTTTTATAGATTGTGAACTGGTTGACAATTGTTACTAGTACATCTATAACAGAGTTTGACGTCTGAAGAAGGATTGTGTGTTAAGTTAAAAAGTCATTATCTACTTGTGTGCTGTTTGGTCTGTCCTTCTGCAATTATTCCTCTATTCACTGTTTCAACTGTTGCAACTTGGTGGAAGTGATGAGAGAATGGTCGCTGGGCAGACTAATGGAATTTAGGAGAAAGGTTGAGGAATTGTCCATTGTTGCAGACAGACACTGAAAGCCAACCCACGGACCCATTTCCTGGTCTCAATTTGGCTTTATTTCTTTCTTATGAAGTCCATTTTCTTGTTACATGCGTGTAAAGTAATGCGACTAGAATGACGGGGTGATTGTGAGAAGAGAATATTGTGCTTTCAATAGAATAAATCAATTTGTATGTATTACACAGCCACTATCGCTAATCTCAATAATGGCGTACAGATCATGATCCTGTAATTGTGAGCAGGAGCACCGATAACAACCATTTCTTGTTGATGCAATAAAACAAGTTTCTAGCATTTCACCTTAATTGATTGTAATATTTAGTGTCAACTTTTGGTGGGTATATAAGTGACAAGTGACTGGTGGGAAGTTTGATCAATCTTGACGGGTTCAAATTCATGATCTACAGAATGACTTCTTCACATTCAACAACCAAAAGTATTGAAGCGATTTTAATACCTACATATAGCTAGCCTTCTAGATATTTATCCAAATTATCTTTGCGGCCATATTTATATCGACTATTTTCTAAATCTACTTGTTTATATATTTTCAGAAAGAAGAGCCCTTACAGAAAAATTACACAAACAACAATTCACAAGAAGCAGGTAAATTTCTTTGTTTAAATTTGGCAATGTTGCTCTCAGAAAAGGAATTTGCTTTACAGAAATAATAAACAAAAATGTACAGGGGAAATATTTAAATGAAATATTAAAGATACATTATGTAAGATTTAGATAAAGAGCCTGGCCATTCTTGTTATAACAGTTCAAAAATAGATAATGCTAAATGAATATATTGAAAATTTCATTTAAATTACTTGAATCTGAGCAAAGTTATCATTGTTTGAAGTTTTGATAGATGCAGCATAGATCGTTTATTATCGTAAGAACGGTACTTGTTATTGGAGACTTAGTCTTGATTCGCCATTTTTAAATTAAATCATTAAATGGTGGCAATCATGAAATCCATTTAAATCTACACATTCGATGATCTAGAGAGTTTATTATATTCTTGGCATGTGAATGAATTTCTAAATAATAGTTTATATAACATTTGAAGCCAAAATAAAGACCTGCAATAGGCACATTTAGCTGTTACATATTGCATCTTTAAAAATGGGAATGTTATTCCAGATTAACATGAATCAAGGTTTTAACAACCAAAATTAATTAAAGTCATGTATTCCAAATGTTTTAACCCAACAATATGTATTTTTTTCCTGTAATTGGTTCTGATTAAAAGATTCTCTTATTAATTTCTATCTCACAAAGTGCTTGAAATTACTCATTCATTACACTTAATATAGAATGAATGGAAACCACTTCCTTACATACACTATATACATATATAAAGATTTTATAAGGGGGTGAAATGAAGATATGGATATAAAGATAGCCAGAGACAACTTACATTTGAAAAAAACAAGGTTGATAAATTTCTAGCCATTAAGAACTGACTTTAATGGCTACCTACAAAGATAATTAAATAGTTTCAGATAAACTTCACAAATGGAAGCACCCATTTTCTTGTCATGTATGTCTTTACCATATTTTTTTATTCGGCTATGAATTGGCTGAGACATTCCATGTTTGCCTTAAAACAATGACTCCTGTTAGAATTATGGGCATTCCTACAGTAATTTCCATCTCAAAAGCTATTGCCCAAATTAAGGAAGAAAGTTGTAAAAGTTTGAATTATAAGGAAAATTACACAGGAGCATACAATAAGTTGTTAGAAAGAGTCTGCTATTGTTTCTCTACAGACATGTATAATTATCTGTTGGGAAATTGTAGTTATTTTACCTTCAGCATTAAATATGGTGTTGAACTGTTATAATAGTTATAGTTGACAATGATTCACTGTTGCATGATCATTTGTAAAAGTCTCTGATGAAACATGTATTGCTCATAATAACAGTAATTGTAAAAAGAGCCTCTTGTACGAGTAGATATTAATATTATTACCTATAACAATTCCAATGTAAAAAGAAAGCACAAGTGTGAAAAAGGGGGAAAACATGGTATTTAATAAATGAAACCTGTGATTATTGGGTCTTCAGCTTTTATTTAAATGCTGTAAATTTGAAGTAAGTGAAAATGGAAATTATGATCTTGAAGTTACAAGATGCAACTGTTTAAAGGACAGAAGTGCCAAAAGTTCTGGCTAGAGTTAATCTACAAGTCGAGGAAATTGTATAGGAATGAAGTATTGTGTGGACTGTTAATCTGATAACATTAAATTGCCTGTCAAGGAGGCGCTGGAGGTTTAAAGATAGGCCAGATAAGCAATGGCTGCATTTGGTCTGTCAGTTCCCTTGTCTTAGTCCTTCCCACTGTTTAATACTACATTCTTCAAGTTGAAATAATGACAGTATCATGATATCCTCTCTATCTCATTACCATTGTTTCTCTATTAACTCTTTCACCAATACTAAACCTCATTAAGTTTTTAAATTACGTGTAACAGATGAGGACAACTTTTCCTCAGATTTCAAAATCAAGCATGGTGAGATCATTCACATAAAAATCATTGCAATTATTCAGTCCACATTAACATCACAGTTGTGAAAAGGAAAGGAATTCACATGCTTTATTATAAAACTTGGATGAAGATATTTTTTCTAGTATTTTTTATCAATACAAAATGTTTGATATAAAATGCATTGTGAAATAGATTTTTCGAACATTGGCTTCTACAATTAAGTCATATTGCAGACAGTCTTTTCACAATGTTTCATTTATTGAAATATTTTATTTATTGAAATATTCAATTGTACATTATTATTTATCTGATCTCTTGCAAACAATGACAACATTTTGTTAGAATAATCAAAGTAACTAATCCATTATTATTGGCTTATGATCTCCCCCTATTTCTTCAATAATTCATTACCATGCCAAAATTCCAAATGTCTGCTAGTTGCCTTTAACAAGACCAGCTTCCAGTTTGATTAAAGGAGCAATTGAACATGTGGAATTTAACTTATTATAATGGTCATCTGATGAACTACAATTACAATGGTCAGCAGTTCATTTTAAGCCTGTGATTGCCTCACGGGAGTATTGGTCAATAGATTATGGACATTTAACAGCTGTAAGTCAGGGTTAATTGGCCATGAAATCTGAAGCCTTTGTTTCAGACTCTATAATTCATTGTCTCAGATTTCCTTACTACATTTGATGAGATTCAGATTTAGTAGAACTAAGTGTAACTCTACACCCAAGACCTTGTAGTATGGTAGTGGTGTTGAGAGATTTGCTACCCAAACTAGTCCTTGGTTCATCAATTGTTTCCCTGTAATACTATTCTTGATCAGATTCCTGACAACTGTTGCTTGTTCTTGGTGTTATCCTGTCTTTCAATCAGCATAAAAACAGGGTTGATTCCTTCCTTCCTTCCACCCACCATACCATCCTATGGTATCAATGAGGAAAAACATGTATTAACACTTTTTGTGCACTGTTTCGATAAGTAGTTTACCAGATCTCACTTATTACTGGCAAAGTTTATTTACTTTTATCCAATTTTTTTCTGCTTTCTCATATATAACAGAAACTCATAGTGATTATTTAACTTTAACATGTTATTATACTTCCACTATTTTCACCCATATTATCCTCACCAAACAACCATATGCTTAATTTCTATCTGAAAAGATGGTTATTTTTGTCTCTTTCATGGTGGAGTTCCGCTTCATAGTTACCTAATCATTACAAATGCCTCATTTTGATTTTGGTAGGAGTCAAATATCATAACTGCTACTTCTGCAGTTGTTTTTCTTGTCATTTTATAAATAATCCAAAAGTTGTTTTGCCATCCTTGAAAGCTATGTACAGCCACAATTTTTTGCTTTCTACATTAATGTGTTCAAACTATCCTATATTGTTCAACTTGAGTAAGCAGGTGTGCTTAATGTCTTATTAACGTGTCACAAGAGGCAGACGCAAAACTTTTTACAAGTCATATTTATCGTTAAGATCTATATAATCATATAATAAAAGAGATCATCTAGATTGTAGGGGAAAAAAAACTATTCTTATATTTATATCGTGAAAGTTCATTGATGTATAAAATCTTTTGATGGCAAATAGATATATCAGAAGTAAAGTTGTTTGCACCCCAAAAAATATTTAAAAAAGAATAAACTGTCAATATCTCTGATTAGATTTATAATAATGAAAGACCAGCCAACATCATTTGATACATCCTACTGTTACTGATCAGCAGGATGAAGTAGATATATCTTTATCATTTAAATGATGACATGAAGATAATCACATAGATTATCAAATTCTAGATAAATCCAATCTCTTCTTGATCTATAAAACTATAATCCTAAGGTCCCAACATGCCAGAATAAATGTTAAATGTAAAGTTTGCTACCATACACAACCATACACAATCAAAATTACTTAAATTATTAGATAAAAACCATTATGGTCCAAAAATTAATTTCGACTCAGGTCATGGTCATTTAAAGTTGAGATTGGTTTCTATTTATTTTACACTGCCACCTTTATGTCTTAGACAAATGTAGTAATAAAAACCTTTTCTTCTAAAAGTTTTCTTTTTAATTGTGGTTACATAATAAAAACAGCCTTTGCATGAAAATAGTACATATTTTGGACTTTTGGGATTTATTTGGATGATCTTGAATGTATTTTGAAATGGTAAAACCCAATAATGGTATTTTACAGACAATGACTAGATTACTAGCAAACGTTTGTGGGAAAAATATTGTGTGTTTGAAAATTAAGCAGTTGTAAATATGAAAAGATTTGTTAGGGATGGTAGAGACTAGTTATCTCTTATATTACCATGCTAAATTAACTGTGTAAGCTATTTATCCAACTTTCTTTTCAAAATAACAATATTCGGTTTCAGCAGTGAAAACAAATAAAAGTGGCATAATTATCTTTTCTTGTTCGTAAAGTGGAAAAACTACTCAATTTCTCTGGTGAAATAGGAAAACAGAATCTAGTAAAGGATGAATATTTTAAATATACAATATCGTCTTTACATATACATCAAATATAAAATGTTTATACATTCTACAAAGCAGACGACTTATGATATAGGTAATTCATGTTTTATGAAGACATCGTGCTATTAATATATGAAGTGTTAAATTTGAACTGATAAAAGTTGATGGCGGTAAATGATAAGTAGATGGCAGTAATGGCTTTGCTACCATATTAATGTCATTCTCCAGCAAACTACATTGTAGCCCAATAAAACATACAATACCCAACTCTATTATTGCTCTACGATTTGTTTCATTTCACAGATTTAACTTATCCTTCGGGCTAAAAACTTGTTCTTCTTGGCCTGGAGACATGCTTTAATATCAAAGATAGGAGTAAATGCAGGTATCTTTGCAGGGTGAATACAATTTGTCATTGATTATCTTTGATGTGATAAGGGTATAATAGAAATAATAGTCATATATAAATTGTTCTACAGTATAATAAGTGATGGGGAAATTAGATAATCATCTATATAACTTAAGGGCAGATTGACCAATAGGTGTTAATTATAAAGGTGGGTTAGAAGATCAATGGTTAAGGAAGGTGTGATCTAATGTTACCTCCACTAGGTAATAACT